AAATCTGGTAATTCTTTGTTTTTACATTCATCGGGCCCCAATCAGCCCAAACATCAAAGAGAAATCAAAAATGCTGCTGTGGAAGAGCTCGGGTCTTAGGAGGTTAAACCGGGTGCTGGTAGCGTTGGCACTGTGTGCAGGTGCCAAGTCCTGAAATCTGCAGTTCCATAAAGTAGGTCGGCAGCAGGAAGAACCTGCTTCCTGCTGCCGACTCCCTGGTTTATGGCTGTGTTGACCTCGGACCTCAGAAAACACAGTGGAGCAACACCAGCGGATGACCTGGCACCCCAAACCATCACTGACTGGAAACTTTACACTCCTGTCTTCCTCCTGACTCTGGGAGCCTGATCTCCAAAGGAAATGCAGAATTGACTTTGACCACAGATCATCACTTTGGACTCAGCAGCGTCCAGTCCTTTTTGTCTTTAGCCCAGGGAGACGCTTCTGATGCCGTCTGTTGTCCTAGAGTGGCCTCACACACAGCTGTGTGTCGTGGTTCTTGAAGCACTGACTGCAGCTGCAGTCTTTGTGGATTTCCCCACATTTTTGAACGGATTTTGTTTCACAATCCTCTCGTGTGGTTATCCCTATTATCACTTTTTCCGACCACATCTTTTCCTTCCCTTCGCCTCTCTATTAACATGCTCAGCCTCTTTTGCAAAGACCTTCTGTGTCTTGCCCTCCTTGTGCAGGTGTCAGTGGTCGTCTTTCGGACAGCTGTCAGGTCAGCAGTCTTTTTTTTAGGTTGCCATCCAGGTACGTACCCAAGTACTTGTAGCTGGGTACTACTTCGACTGCAGATCCTCCAACGTGCAGGGGTGTGTGTGTGTGTCTTCCCCTCAGGAACACAGCAGTGTTGTGATTCTGTGTCTTTGACCCCGGTGTCTTTGTGTTTCTACACAGACTCCAATCTCTGTGTTTTAGACTGCTGACTTGCTGTTGTGGTGATCTATGGTTCCTAGTCTCAGTTTGATGTGCTTATGAGTTTCCTGTTTATGTCTCTGGGGGATGTAGAGGACTCTAGGTCATGTAGTTTCCTTTAGGCATTCCCCTCTGATAGCTCTGTCCAGGCACAAACCTGTTGCTGGAACAGCTGAGACTGTTCTATTGCAGCTAGCAAACATGGGACGGCAGGCAGAACTCTTTGTGATCTCGTGCACGAGGGACATGAATGAGACGAACGCCGTTCCTGCCGCTCCAACCCCAGCTCCCCCGTAGCACTGCTCTTTATTGAGGTACATGAATATTCATAGGTTCATTAACATATGACGTCTCAAACAGGCATGTATGTGAACAGAGTACCGTGTGTGAAGATGTGACCCTGTGACTCCTAGATCTGCTGGTGCCTGAGTCCAGCAGATCACCTAAACAAAAGGCACTTTTACCTAAACAGAGAAAGAGAAGCTACGACCTCTCTCGTGACCTTAGGACGTGTGGTGTGCCAGAACACTCAGGAAAGGAGGAGTGAACGTACACAGAGCCTTTGCAGACTACTAAGGATCAGACATTCTATCATTGCACAATCAATTATATGCCCATGAGCATCAATGACAATCCAACAGT